CCTCATCTACCTCCCCAGATTCAACTCCAGGCAGCTTTAGCTCTCTTAACCTCACCCTGCATGCTCAGGCCATGTCCCTGTATTCCTGTGACTTAGGAATTAGGCAGGAGCTCGTTTTTCACCCATGCAGCTGTCCTGCTACTTTTGCCTGATATGGGGCAGACCTTTCTTGAGGTTAGATTGGGTGATCCTTGAAAATCAGCTAGCACTCTTTTAACTAGAGAAACTCTTCATCTAGAGTCATTTCAAGTAATCAAGTTAGATTTGAACACAATGAGCACAGAAATGTGTTTTCATTATGCTAGAGCATTTTATATAATACCACTTTTGCTCCTTCCCTTCATCATAAGTTATTTTGCCTGTTGCTTGTGTGCTACACATCCTTCTTCATCCGGGAGAGAAGTGCACATACACAGCGCAGTAAGGAAAGTGCAGTGCAGAACTCCAGAGGGCCATGTGATGGCGCAAAATTATTGTTTCTTTTAAATCGAAAGAAAGCACAGTTATAAATACCCAGCCTTTAAAAGTGTAGATTCCTGTTACCTGGCAGACAATGTCTATGCTATGCTTCCTTAGCTTTCTAGAGCAAAACAGCACTGAGCACCAGTGGACAAAAGGGCAGGATACAACAGTGCATGGGTGGATGCCTTTCAAGAAGCATCACTTTTGATTCGCTCCTTCCGACAAAGGACAATAGGGAATTCTTGTCCCAAAGGCACTTTGCCCAGGAAATCAGGATAATAGATAGCCTTAAGAGAAACTAATCTCCAAGGAGGAGGAACTCAAGTAGAGTTAAGTTATAATATCTGGACAGTATTAATTTGAGGCATCTGCTAATTAAAGTGGAGGTGGAGGGGGTAACACTGCTTACATTCAGCCCTGCACAAGGGCTACTCTGCTCAAGCTGCAAGTTCGGGGCCATGAAGAAGTTTCTGAAAAAGGAAGCAGTTGCTCTCTGGCTTCTAGAGTTCTTCAGCACAGATACAGGTAATGCCTGTAACATGACATGCCTGTAACTCACTTCAATTTTATGTTTTGTATCCTATCAAAATGTCCTATAATGTTTCTTTTTAATAAACAGATAACCTTTCAACTGTCAGCTGCTGGAGCTGTAAGGATACATTTTTTCCCTTCGCTATACATTTCAGTGCATAGAAATATTCCATATTTCTTTATATTGCAATCAGTTTTCTTCATGTCTATTGTGAACAGGTTCACGGTGTAACCTGTTCGGTTGTTTTCTTTTTGACAATCAGCTACTGTGAATGTGGTTTAATTTTCCATAGGCATTTATGTTTTAGTTGCAGAATCCCAGTTGTAATCCAGAAGACTCACACCTCATCCTTTTTTGTTTATCAGACATGTATCCTTAAAAGCTGCTTGAACAAACACACATAAATGAAAATGGCTGCAGGAGGACTTCTCATTTTTGGCATATAAAGACTTTCAGAGCATGAAATTTAGATGATAAATCTAACTACATCAGTTTCAAAATAAGACAGTGTGCTCTCTTTTGCATTTGATATGTGGCATAAAGTTATTTTACATCTATTTACACAGATTAGTAAGCAGTTCTTACCTCACTGAAACATTTTTAACAATGCAAAACCAAGCAAACCATATTTTGATGTAAAATTAAACACAATTTAAATTCACAGAAGCAGGGATATTTACAGTGCAGGTCCAACATCCAACCCTTCAAGTGTGTTTTGATATTGCAAGGGCTTTGAACAGTAAATAAAAAGGTTATATAACTCAGAGGTGGGGCGATTCCAGGACGCACTATTGGGTTAAATTTCAAAAATTAAAATGGAGCATCAGAAAACAGCATAAACAGATTCAAGTCAACTCTGCTCGACAGTACGTATACAAGCACCTATAGTCTTTTGTGTTAAAATAGCTAACTTGTTGCATAATATATTTTACGAATTGTCAAAAGCAGATTTACAGCTACCATGTATGTGCTGGCATACCACAGAAAGGACTGCTATCAGCACCTATTACAAAACCTGCCCAATAATCCAAAACAGATCAGTCATTCAGCGGATAAGACTAAGGAAAAAACATGTTGCTTTGACCATACTAAAAAAAATAATAACTAAAATCTTTTCTTTGAGAAGCATTAGTACTATCATAGTTTCGTAAAAAAACATACATGTTTACCAGGAATTGACTGCCCAATCTAGTTGTGATTTTGGAAAATTACTGAGAGAAAAAAAAGGGACTAACTGAGAATTAGTGTAGTACATTTACCTAAAAAAGTTATGTTTGGAAGGGCAACATTAACCTAAGATTTTTGGAGGAAAAAAAAGTTAAAGCCATTATGATGATTGTAGAGTCAAGCAGTCAGGTTAGAAAATATGAGAATTAGAGTCAAATACCTATTGATATACACTGAAGCTGATATGTATTATTTCATTTGAGACTCTCACAACAGTGAGATTAGAAAAAAAGCAATATAGCTTTGGATAAAAGTTTCAAAAACTCCCACTGAAAAGCACTAAGATATAGGTTTCTAAAAAGCGGGTGGAAGTAGGAGTTCTGCCCCTAGTAATTCTCTAGAAATGTCAGGTTAGTCAGCCATTTAATCCTAAAACTCACAACAAGAATCAAAGGAAATGTAAAACAAATACTCGTGGTCAATAAACAAAAATAAAACTCAGATTTTTTTTTTTTTATTATTATTAGAAGTAAAATAAAATGTGACATTCTGTCTAGGAGGCACTGGTATATGCTGTGCTAAATTCAAACATGTAAAGATATTTTTAGCTTTTAGATTCCTTCCAAATGAAGCCTCTTCCTCTTGCACTGGAGTTCTGTACAAACTCTGATGTGTTTGGATGTCTAAGGAAGCCGCTGGACTTCAAACTTATCAGCAGACGGTGCTTCAAAGACATCATCTTCAACACTTTCCTCTATTGGCTTCATTTTTGCTGAAGTTCTCAGGTAGGGAGATGTCCGACCTGGGCCTGCCATAATTCCAAATAAATTACACAATTAATTTAACAATAAATGCTTGTTATATATACATACCTATTTTTAACAAAGTGCCAGAATCTAATGTGATCTGATTGTGAGAAAGTCTTATGATCTTTTCCATTTCCCTAATAGAACAGTTTTATAACTGAGGGTTTTGCAACTATCTGGCCCTTGGTATCAGAAAACTCCAGATGTGAAACAGCCAACAGGATCTGAAACACTAACATCTTCCAGGTTCAAATCTTACAGACAGTAGAGACAGAGAATTCTCCCTGATTTGGCAATAGAGACAGAGAATTCTCCTTGATTTCAGTGCAAGTCTTGATGGCATGAGATGCTCATGAGATGCTCAACACTCCTTCCCAATTCTTCTCTCATGAAATTTCTTTTCAGCCAACCACAAATCACTCTTGCCAAAGCGCCCTATGACCAGCTACCTACAGCATAAATGGTACATTTATGTTTGGATACTTGCCTCAACTGCGACAAGCCTCACAGCTGCACTGGGCAGACCTCAGCTGGGTAAATGATCATAGCCCTAACTGCTTTAGAAATACGACATGTAAAGTGTATCCCCAGCATAAACAACCACAGAGAAAAACAGATGCTGTCAGACGAAGGCCACCTGCCCTTTGAATTCCAGCATGATCTCCCTGCTCTAAGGAGCTGCTGCTGTGCTAGTGGACTGCCTAGAGCTTGCTAGAGATAAGAGGTTAACAAGAAGTTTGGTGCCAGATACCACTGCATGAATTGATCCTCTGTTGTATGCAGATGTTACGTAGGAGGGTGTATTCACAGAACTCCCTTAACATCAGACAAACGGGTTCATTTCTTACTCTTCATTCTGAAAATTGCACCTGTACTTGAATATTTGTTCTCTCAGTCCCCTCTTCCACAGGGATACAATCACAGTGGCAGAAGCTTCTAAACAGCCAGCATATGATGACCAAAGAGAGCAGGAAAATCTTTTAAATATCTTTGCAGAAGAGAGAGCAAGTAGTGGTAATCTCTGACAGATCTCCTGTATAGAAGCTAAGAAGTAAAGTTTTCTTGAAAAAAAATACTGACAGCCATAACATACTGTTATCGCAGAGCTATTCTTATTACAAAGATTACTTTTTAAAAAAATTACCTTACCTATAATAAATTGCTCTGAGTAGAAAGTCCGCAGAAGCACTTTTTTTTTTTTTTAAACACACACAGAACAAAATATCAGCTACAGGCAAGACCAGCAGGCATTACATTACTGCATTTCTTAAGTCACATTCAGGCAAAAACTGTTAGGAATTAGTTTTTTAGACCTCGGTTACAAATATATTAATATTTCCTTCTAACATTTCTTCTAACAAAACTACTTGATGAATTGCTATAACAAAGATGAATTGCTATAACAAAGGGTTAATTACAGATGCTTTTAAAATACAGGAATTGTTTAGCACTTGTCTTCGCGTATAGGTGTTCTTATGGCCAAAAGAGGTATGCTTAGATCATTCATTCATCTAAACCCAAGGTTTGTGCATAAATGGGTGCAGAAGTGACTTTGTTGGGCAACATGAACAAATTACATTCAGAGGTAAGGAAGACAGAAAATGTTGGGCTAGTTCATTGGTTTTTATTTTGTTTTTTTGTTGATTTCTGTATCTGTATAGTTACTCACTCTTTTCAGCACAGTTTTCTAAGTTTCAAAGAGCTTACTTCTCTCCAGAAAGGCGCCATTAAGTCTGTTGAGCAGGATACAAGGCTGTACCTAACACTCTCCACACTTGGTGGGAATGTCTTAGTGTCTTTACTTGGAGTTCTACTTGGTTAAAAGACATGCCCTTGCTTTCTCCAAATGTAGAAAACTTGTCTATTTTTACCTCTCTCCTGAACTATCCAGATGTTCAGGGGACTGCTCTTGGTCTTCCATATGCTGCCCTACTGCACAGGACCCAGGTCCAAATGCCTATTACACTAGTAAGCATAGGAATGATTATTAGGAAATATATTAGGAATTATTAACCATTATATAGGAAAGCAATAGAATGATAGTGCAGAAACTAATATTAAAACATTTCCAGTAAGAACTGAAAGCTGTAGCTACCCTTCTGAATGAGTTCGACTATTCCTACTCAACTCACATTTCGGAAAAAGAGACACATTGATTTCATTTATTAATAAGTTACATAGAGATGGAGCACATACGTCAAGCACAAGTACCACGTGATAAATAAATCCCACTTTAATACCTTTTTGAGGATGCTTGCTGAGTTAATGTGATGTTATCAACAGAAAACATCATGCTGCAAATGACTCACTCCGTAAGCATTATAGAACTCTTGTTGGTTATTTCCTTAATATAAAAGCAGACAGTTAGTTGGGTTTTTCTTAGTTAAATTCAAAACACACTTTTGTTAATAATTGCAGTTTGCAGCCTACCAATTAATATTTTTCTCCCTCTTGTTGACAAACCTTTTGAAAAACCTTCTAGGTCATTTTTAGAAAATTAATCAAAACTCATAGCTTGGAGCACATAGGATAAAAACTCATAGCTTGGAGCATAGCTAGGATAAAAGCATATTTTTTAAAAGTTTGATTATAAAAAAATAAATTCACCCTTTTGCAAGAATATGGAAATTAGGAGAATAAGATTTGTACTGTTTGTACTATAGGAGTCAGACACAATCTTTGCAATGAGAAGCTTTTGTCCAGATGAGAGCCTGTCCTGTCACCTAGCAATGCCAAGAGAGAATTCCTGTAGGGCTCCCATACAGGTAATAGTCTCTCTCTCCCTCTCCCGCATGTCATTTCCACTTGCTCCTCACTAAAACCTTCTGTTTCTCTCTCTCTTTTTTTTCCCCCAATTCTTTTCTTTTAACAAACTAATTAACGGCTGCAGAAGGAGGATCCAGGGCAATACAGGACTGTGCTTCAGTATGTACCACATACCAAACCCTAAAAAACGGAAAAGTAGACTAACTGTGCTGCTGTTTTTTTTTTGTTTTGGTCTTTAAAATCACAACAGGGAATAAGTTAAACGCCATTTTTTTCTTTCTCAGTTTTCTCTGGACTCTGAAGGGAAGTGCAGACACAGCTACAGTACAGCATCAGTGCCAGGCTTCAGGCAGAGCTCCCCTTGATAGGAAGCCATCGTAGCAAAGGACAATACCTGAGTATTATGGACTAACCAGCCATTTCAGCAAAAGAAAAGATGAAGCATTATAGTTTGGTGAGATAAATAATCTTTTATCAAGTCATATGTACGGAAGTCAGAAATTCTGCATTAATCAAAAGGTAAAGAAAAAGAAATGACTGTATTTCCTGAGGCGTATCATATACTGTCATATGGACACCCCGAACACACCTCCAAAATAAATAAAAAGTTGGACTCTGGGATTTGGTACGTTGGCAATGGTGTGATGGCAGGATCAACACCAACAGCTACTGCAGTGGGTAATTTCACAACATAACAGACATTTAAGACTCCATTTCATGGAAAGTACACAGCAAATACCAGAAAACATATGATATAAAAAAGCACAATAGAGTAGTTTATCGAGTAGGTGCTAAGAATGGATGCATCTTAAAGATTAATGTAATCATGGCTGAAAATTGCATCTATTTCCATTACTTTCTCCCAAAGCTGCCATAGCAGTGCGAGTGTTCTGCTGCTGATCCCGAGAGACAATTTCAGTTCTAGCTAACTGCACAAACGCAGCTTCACAGTTCCCTTCAGGCTTCCAGGTGAGAGGATCTGTCCAAGTGCACTTTGTGCAAAGGAAGGGCTTGAAGGCAGGGAGCTTTGCCGTGGAGTGGGAGAAAGTCAACACCTTATGGGCAAATTTTTGAGGGCAGAGCAACAGGGCAGACTTCACAGCAGGTATCTGCTACAGACTGCCTGATACAGAAGAGGAAGGGGATTGAAGTCTTCTTCAGACAGCGGGTTGAAACCTTGTGATTTCAGGTCTTGGTGCTCGTGGGGAACTTTGAGCAGCCCGGTAGTGGCAGAAAGGGCCTGGTGTGAGCAGTGCAGCAGGTTCTGCAGAGAGCTGAGGTCCGTTTCTTCACACTGGTGGCTGATGAGCTGGTTAGGGAAGGCGTTCTGCTGGACCTGTCACTGATGAACAAGGAAGAACCGGTCAAAGACAGGAAGACTGGTGGTGACCTTGGCTGCAATGACCAGGAGTTTAAGAGACAGAGAAGGTGCCAGAAACACTGAATCATAGCCCTGGACTTCTGGGCAGTGGTGTGCCTAGGGACCTGCTTGGCAGCATCCCCACGGGACATGTCCCACAAGGCCCAGGGCAGAGCTGGTTGATCTTCATTCAAGGGCATCTTCCTCCAAACCCAAGAGTAGTGCATCCCAGTGTGCAAAAAGCTGAGCAAGCGTGGCAGGAGGCTGGCATGGATGAAGAGGAAATTCCTGGCAGAGTTCAGGCACCAAAAGGAAGTACACAGAAAGTGGAAGCAGGGATAAACTACCTTGGAAGAATACAGAGACACTGTCCAAGCATGCAGGGACAGAACTGGGAAAGCCAAAGCTCAGCCAGACTTGCAGCTAGTTAAGGGAAAGAAAAGGGCTTCTGTAAGCACATTGGCAACAAAAGGAAGACCAAGGAAACTGCAGCTGAGGCTCAGCCTTGGGACATGAGTCAATGACAGAGGACACGGAAAAGGCTTTTTTACCTTGGGTCTCCCTGGTAAGGCTTGCCCTGACAACTCCCAGGTCTCTGCGTCTAGTGACATGGGCCTGGAGGGCAATTCATGACTTAAGAGTAAAACAGGTGCCCAGCAGCAGGACAAGAGGCAAATTGTGTCTGATCAGGCTGACTGTCTTCTGTGGGGAGATGAGAGGCTCTGTGGACAAGGCCAGTGCAGTGGATGTTGTTCACCTGGATTGTAACAAGGTCTCGAACAGTCTCCCACAGCATCCTTCTAGCCAAACCGGTTAGAAATGGACTGCATCATCAAACTACACAGTGGGTGGAAAGCTGGCAGGGCTGCAGGACACAAAGGCTGTGCAGGTGAAGAGCAGAACAAAATCCACCCGGCTGCCAGTGACTGGCAGTGTCTCTCAGGGGTCGATACCAAGGCCTATAATGTTAAATGTGTTTCCTAATGACTTGGCGGAGAGGATGGAAGTCACACATAGCAAGTGTGGAGAGCACAGAGAAGTGAGGGGAGTGCTGATATACCAGAGCACAAGGCTGGTCAAAACAGACTTCCTACGCAGGAGAGAAGAGCTGGCAGGAACCACATACAGTTTCACACAGGCAAAGTCCTGCACAGATTCACAGATTCACAGAATATTTAAGGTTGGAAGGGACCTCTACAGATCATCTAGTCCGACCTTCCTGCTCAAGCAGGCACACCTAGAGCATGTGGCACAGGGTGGCATCCAGGCGGGTTTTGAAGACCTCCAGAGTAGGAGACTCCACAACCTCCCTGGGCAGCCTGTTCCACTGCTCTGTCACCCTAACAGTAAAGAAGTTGCTCCTCACCTGGAGACGGAACTTCCTGTGCTTCAGCTTGTGGCCATTACCCCTCGTCCTATCGCTGGCCACCAGTGAGAACAGCCTGTCCCCTTCCTCCCTGCATTCTCCCTTCCTGAACTTATACATATTAATCATATCCCCTCTGAGCCTTCTCTTCTCCAGAGAAAACAGGCCCAGCTCACTCAGCCTCTCTTCATACGAGAGATGTTCCATTCCCTTAATCATCCTGGTTGCCCTTCTCTGGACCCTCTCGAGAAGCTMCACGTCCCTCCTATACTGGGGTGCCCAGAACTGAACACAGTACTCCAGGTGCGGCCTCACCAGAGCTGAGTAGAGGGGCAGGTATCCTGTGCACCCAGGATACCTGGCACAACCAGACACGGCGGTACAGGCTGGGCACTGGCCTGTTTGAAAGCAGTTTGGCAGAAAGGGGCCTGGGGTCCTGGTGGGCAGCAAACTGACCAGGAATCAGCAGCGTGGCCCTGGGGAGAAGAAAGCTCCCCATATACCAGGCCATATTAGCAAGAGGTTAGCCAGCAGGTCAGTGAAAGAGGTTAATGCAGCTCTTGTGAGGCAGGTTCTGGAAGGTACTCTATCCGGCTTCAGGCTCCCCTGGGTAAGAAAGACACAGAGATACAGGCAGGGCAGTGGAGAGCAGCCAAGATGGTTGAGGATGAAGCAGACGACAAACACAGAGAGGCTGCAAGAACTGGGTTTGTTCAGCCTCATGGAGACAAGGCTCACAGGTGACCTTGCTGCTGCCTTCAGCTACTCAGCAGAAGGATATAAAGAAGACAGAGCCAAACTCCTCTCAGAGGCAGGCACTAAAGAACAAGGGACTATGGTCATGAGCTGTGATAAGAGAAATTTGGAATACTCATAAGGAAGTTTTATTCACAAGGGTAGTCAAGCACTGAAATGAGCTGCCCAGACAGACTGTAGAATCCTCTCCCTTGGAAAAACTCAAAGCATTAGTCCTGAGCGACTGCTTTAGTCGGGCCCACTTTGAGTAAGATTTTGTGCTAGACAATCTTTAAGGGTCTCTGCATACCGCAAGTATTCTGTGGTTCTAAGTCTCCTCTCAGGGAAGAGAGGAGAAGCAAAACAAAGCCAGAATTTTCACAAGTCTGCAACAACTATCGCCAGCTATCGCTCTTGCATTCCCGCCGAGTCAAACACTAGCGGTGCTTTTGTTTCCATCCACTTGGAAGCAAATTGTCCCAGTGGAAAGGACAGGAAAGGAATTGGTCCTCCAGGCCTGAGGGGGCTCCCAGATGAGAGCTGCAAGGAAGACAGTGCCGAATAGACAAGGAAATGGGAATGTCTAAATACTCTGAAACACTCTTTCACCTCAGTACAGAGTTTAACTGTAGTAAATGACAACTGATCTTCTCACAGATTTAAATTGCCTTAAATAAGCAGCTTGTGCCAAATAAGACAACTGAGCATCTTTGGGGAATTTTGTTCAAATCTGTTTTCAAATTTCAGACTACTATTTAAGTTCACTTAGATCCAATGAAATTAAAAGTAACAAAAAAAGCTTACAAAGAACTGTTTTGAAAAAAAATCTATAAAAATATAAATTGCAAGGGTAGAAACAAAGCGTCAGGCCATGGCTTCCCTTATTTCACCTGTTCTGTACTACTCTGGTCACACAAAGCACAGGGAAGGAAAGCCTGAATATTCAGAAATTTTCCAAGCTTCTTCAAAATATTAGCTCCACACCACATTTCTCCAGACCTTGCCAACACAAACTAATTCAGGAGGAAGTGCAGAGCACCCAGCGGCTGTGAGGAAATGGTTGATGCTTGGTTATTTGATTTTTAGTTTCTACAAGCACTGATCACAGACCAGAGGAGACACTACTGTGACAGGCGCTTCACACTGATTTGCTCTATTATCTTAAGAAATTTGCATTATATACATTCATACTATGCCATAAATTATTACACTGCTTGTTTTTTTCCCCAAAAAAAATCTAGATGAGGGAGCTTAAGTTATCCTACAAAGCCTCAGGTAGGTTATGAACTCCTTGCATTAGGTCCTTCCACTTACTCAGTTTACAGCAACACCCCAAATAAGCTAAATTCTGCTCCTACTGAAGGCAGCAGGAGCACTGCAATGGTTTTTCATGATGAGCCAAGCTGTGTTCAAAATTGGCATCAACTATTTTGAGAACTCACGAAGAGAGGATGCAGAGGAGGTCCCACGCAGGAACATCTGCAAGCCGTCCTCACTGTCGCTGGTGCTGGCCATGCTGTTTCTCATCTGCATCACGGAGAGCTGGGAGCAAAGACTAGGCTGCCGATCAATCTTTTTGGAGGCCTATATATATATGTATTTAAAAAAAAAAAGAGGTCTTTTAAAAAGTTGTCAGGGAAATCAGAAATAAAAATGGAAAATAAGTATTTCCTCTGTAGTAGAGGCTCTGAGGTCAGCTATGACTATTCATGAATCATTTCATTTAAAGCAGAAGAGTTTGTGCAAGGTAAACTGATTTAAATGAAAATATTCTAACTGTGTAGGAAGGACTTGTACAATATGATTTTCGCTTGGGGAAGAATAATTACAACTTCCCAAAACACTTCGTTTTTACTTAATTTTTAGAATCACATACATTTTTAGAAGTTATTGCAATTACACTAACCTTAAGTTCACATGGCTGGTTTTGTTAAAAAAAAAAAAAAAAAGCACTTGGAAAAGAAGTTAAAACGAAAAAGTAATTTAATAAACTTACAAAAAATTATGAAATCAGTTTTGCATTGCTTTGCATGCTTCTAGTATTTGTAAAGGACTGGGAATGAAACATACTCAGCATGTTACAGCAAATAGCACAAAGCAATGTAAAAAAATATTACTAGCTAGAACACAATTAGACAGATCTTTTCTGTCCTGTGCAGTTCATATTGACACACATCTACGTATCACTTGGATATATTTGTACCAGAGAGGGGAAAATAGAGACAAGCTAAGCACAAAGGTGGAAAGTCACTTTGAGCCTCGATTTCACCCAGCACAACAGGTTGGGCACCCATTCGATTTCCACACTCTGTACAAACAACAGAGCACTAATTTAAAAATTTCAAATAGGTCCATCCATCTGAAAATAGCAGTGGCCCCAACACAATACAATAACTAGCAAGGAAGGAGCAGAAGCTCCTTGTGTTCTCACAAAGAAGCCTAACAGGAATGTGCTTCCCAACACCTGCATTATTATTTTTAGAGAGGTGCAGATGTTAAGGCAGAGGAAGGGAGAAGAAAGCAAGAGAAAGAAGAAAGAGAACAGGATGAGACTGTAGTGATGCAAAATCAAGAAGAGGCAAAAGAGAAAGGAAACAGACCAAAAGAAGGAAAGGAAGCAAGAAAACCTACATTACAAAAACATTTAATGCCAAGTCTTCTAAAAGTGACTGGCGACCAAGGGAATCTAAAAGAAATTTGAACTTTGGAGAGTGTTATGATATGCTTCAAAATCAGGTGAATTTGTATCATGTGAGCAGGAGGATAGGGCTAAAGCTGCACACAGAAATTCATATATCAGTTTTGAAAATTGTTTCCAAAATATTTTCTCAAGAGGACAAGATCAAGCACTGAAACTTATAAAAACAGTACTGATAAAAATAACTGATAAAAAAGTACAATAAAAGACATAGAACAAGAGAAGTTTTCTATGACAATAAACATTTTTATATTGCAGCCATGTTTTAGACATTTTGAAGTATGAGTTGAATTTCCTATGGGGTGAAATTGCAATGTTCCAATAAATCCGTGTTGTAACATCATATATTATATAACTCAGCAACCCTTTTCTGCCAGGCATTGGCAGTAGATTTCTATTAAAGTCTAACCATCTCCCTGAGAATTAAAAAATATATGTATTTCAAATGTATGATAAGGACTTTTCACTTCAAAGCAACCACTTACAAATTCACAATGTGACTGCATGTGACATTATTCCTTCATTTCAACAATTATTTTTACTAACGTTTCAGTTCTGCAGTGCAGAAGCCAGCAGCTGCAGATGATTTGGTACACTAGGCCCAATATCCTAATGCTGTCATCCTTCCATGCAGGAAAAAAGGAAACCAAGAAGAGAAAAACAGGCATGTTGAGTGACAAGCAGGAGTCTCCCAGGAGATGCAGCCCAAAAGCAATTGTCAGCACACAGAGCTCCGTGTTGCTGCACAGTCCTGGCAGAGGCTGTACTCAAGAAGTGACACACTTACTGTAGAAAAACATTCTGATTAATCAAATACATCTTTGCTCTCTTTTTTTTTCCCTTAAATAAACAAAAAAAAACTTTATAAGGTTACTTTACAGATTGTACATTCCTGCATTTATGCAATAATATCTGTGTTATTGCATCAGCAAGACTCAGATGATCCATGAAACCAGTGAACTGAAATAGTTTTGAGCATCTGATTACAAGACAGCGTAACCCTCTACTGCCTTGCCCAGAGGGAAGAATAAGCAGAGTTTTGTTGTTTTTGTAAAAAAATTTCCAATAATTCTTTCTTCTTTTTTTCTGTAGACAATACAAAATTGAGAAAAAATATAATGCTTAATTAGCACAAAGTACATTTCAAGTCTATTGCATAGGACCTGTGGCAGTTACTCCTTTGGGATCATTTCCCAGTACATTGACAATTTTGATTACAGAAAGAGCTTATTCAACCTTTCTGAGACATTTATAACCAACCTGAAAACACAGATTTTTTGCTTTGAGTTAGGGTGAATTAAATCCAAAACCACAGAACGTGGAAAGATTGTATTTATAATGCATACATAAATTATGAAGAAAGTTGGAAAAAAATCGTTTTAGCAACTAGCCATCATGCCTACGACTTGGCTAGGAATACCTCCACTAGCCACTTAGCTCGGGCTCTCAATTATTCCTCTTTCTTGCATATTGCCACGCTAACATTAACCAATATTGCTGCTGACAAAATGTTTCGCCGACTTCACACGTTGTCCCTAAAAAGAAATCAGTATGAATGCAACAACCACCCACAGCAGGTTCAAAACAACATGCTTGCAAACAATTTAAGGTAACAACCCATTTGTGTGAGGCAAGAAAGTCTCCAAAGTTTCAACTGCTTACCTTGTCATTTAAGGTCGGGTCATTCAACGAGTAGAGTTTATTTGTAATATCCTTGCCAATAAGATACTTAAAGATCTCATAAAGAAATGGCTCAGATTCCAGAAAATAAGTCAGCCTTTCCCTGGACCAGCACAGGAACTTGCAGTTATCATCTGCAATAATGGTGACCTGAGGAAACAAATACTCAGAATTAACACTTCTCTCCTGCTTTAAAATAGGTGATACTATTTTATTTGTGCCTACATTTAAAATAACTTAAAGTTGCACCTTGGGGTATCCCTTTGAAAATGGGATTTAAATTTAAAATTACTCACCTATTTGCTATCACTGTATTTAAAACATTGATACATATGGCTAGTTAATTTTTTCAGAAAATTTGTAGGGAGATAAAGTTTCATCACAGTGCAAGTTTCTCACAGTGTCCACAACTGTAGATAATGATGACAGAGAACATTTACAGACATAGTCAGTCCTACATCGATGACACTATTCGCATCCCAGTAGGCCTACATGTCACTAGGTTTTAAGTCCATGTCATCATAACTAAAGAGCAACAACTGCTATAATTCAAAGACTGCTGTGAAAGTATTTTAGAGATAAAAAAAAAAACACCCTTTAACTGCTTTGCTGCCAGACCTTGCGCTCTCACAAGCTTCTATCACCTGAGCTGAGGAACTACCTGATTCATTATTGACAATTCTGCTACGGACAGTTACTGGGAAGCTTACATCTTCTCCTGGGAGGTTTTAATGCTTATAAATACATAGCCAGATTTGTCATGCTATGCCAGGAGAGGGCAGCAGCATACAAAAGCCATTAGACAGCACAGTAGCTAATTTTGCAAAAGAAAGCATCTATAAAGAATTAAGCTACTCTCTATTATCACAAGTTACTTTCATATCATTAAAAAATGAAAACATAAAATATATATATATATACACATATATGTGTGTGTGTGTATATATATTCCTTTTTCTGAGAACTAATGAAAAACAGTCCCACAAACATAGGTTTTAACTTCACCATCTGCAATATGAGCATACAAGCCTAGGAAGAATTCAGTAGTATCGCCAGCAGATGGAGCCGTTGAGATTTAATCTATGTCCTAGTCCCACAGCAAAGCTGAGAATACTCATGGTGCAGGGGGGTGAAATCACAAAAAGCAAGGAAAATTCAGAGGTGAAGGATGTAAATGGTAGCAGACTGCAATAATACTTCAGGTAGGCACACTTCGAGTCATCAGCTTTTCCCTTTCACTAAAATTGATTTTTTTTTTTTTAAACAAAAATTAATAGTAAGGAGGGGACTTCAACTCTATAGGATTCCCCACTGTTACAAAATGAGCACATCTGGACAGCTATCCAGCCTTGGCACCCGGCCCCGTGCTCGACTGGAACATATTACATCAATCACTGATTTTAGAGTCTACATTGCTCTTCCTCCCGCTCTTTTCCGTTAGGACACCAGTATGGATGCATCCAGTCATGCCAGAGGCTAGTAATTACTATTCATATGCAGTTAATATCAAGTAGGCAGCAGCAAAATACTGATTTTAGTGTTATGGAGAGAAAACCTACTCTAATAGCACTTTTTACTGCAAGCTATTGTATAATAGCACTTTTTACTGCAAGCTATTGTATAATCTATCCATTAATGTACTGGTATAATTACACTACTACTCAATATCGCTCCCCATAGGAGTGTTTTTATTCAAAATAGCATGATGTCTTTCAGTTAATGTTGCTTTAACAATTTTCAAAATGACAGAAGCATTAATATGTTTAAATAAGCATCACTTTCAAACTACTAGTGCTGAATTTTTAAAATCTTTCATTTTAGTAACACCAAAGATTACCACAACTAAGTGCAGAAAAAGCCTTTTTTCCATCTACTGTTTTTAAACTAGCAAAGGAAGCACTCAAACAATCTCTTTCCTAGTAAAAGCTACTTCTTAAACTTGTCCTAAAAATATTTTAACACAACATAAATTTGTGAATAGTAAAAAGAGAGAACAGAATAGCTAGTTGGCAAACATCATTATAGGGTTGTTTTATAAAATTTCATTCTACATTATTCTTGATATGGGCTATCATTAAACATCAACACTAGAAAGCCAGCAGAATTATGCAAACCAAATAGTTCACTGTGGCTCAAACTTAAATTATGGGTAATTAAGCTGTTGAGGTTTGTTTTGTTTTTTAAACAGTTAGTTCATATCCAGTGACATTTAAAACAAAGTGTACCTGGAATTTCTCACCCCGATTCATCTGAGTTGATCGAAATTCGGGAGAATCTATAAAGGCACAGGGGTAAATATTATGCAGAAAATGCCCTCGATAAGAGACCTTCATTCTGGAAATAAAAATGTATGAATCAACATTTTAAAGTTATGAAAATTATGGAGGCTGGATAATTTAAATTTGACTATAGATTTTGACAATGGTAATGAAGAAGGTAGCAGGCTAAGATATATGCATTTCCTGGAATTTCAGCCAAAGAGCTAGCCTATTTTCTGTCTAAATCTCTACCGATTCCAAACAGAACGGACTACTGGCAAATTGTATTTGCCTGATATTGTGTCTACTCTCAAAATACTGCTTTTCAAAATGAAAAAAAGGTCTGGAGGGTAATGCCATACTGCCAGAAAACAAACAAACCAACAAAAAAACGTAAAATCCAAGCATGCACTAAGATGATGACTATGGTAAGTGTTCAAAGACTTCTTGCCTGTTCTGGAAGCCACTACTTTTGGTAAGATACAAGTATATTCCCCATTAGTATCAAAGTGGATGTATAACATGCTCCCAGTAGGATACATCACTGTCACTTAGAAACAGTGTCACAAAAGGCTACACACCTTTTAACACACCAAAACAGCCCACATGGGTAGTCCAGAGTATATAACAGACAGTAACATTTAGAAAGCCAACAAAACCCTCCAGATTTCTAGTATTTTCAGCCATCACCCAATACGTAAGTTGTGCCCAAGCTTTACAGAACCTACTTCCCCTTCAGTAGGATGCTTAGTCTATCATCAACTGATGTTTTATCCTCTGCAGCATAAGCTTGACCTGTCTTTAAAGTCTGAATATTGCAGAATTGTCCAGTTAATCTTTGGAACAGCTCTGGAGGCACATGCAGTGGTTCAAACATTCGCTTGTAGAGACTGCTAAGCTCCTTCTCTATCTTGATCTAGAATAAAAACAAAAAACAGCAATAAACACAAATGAACTAGTTAATGAAAAGGTAAGACTGCATGCATGCTGCAGCTGCTACATCTTTAAGATTAAAAAAGGAAAAAACAAACAAACAAGATGTTTGACATCTATTCACAAATACTGGATATGACAAAGGGAGGAAAACAGCTAAAATTAGGAGAGAACCCTTGGCACTTTAAGATGCTTTTCCATGTAAATGGCATGTTAAATCAGCTACGAGGAGTCTCCTGAGACTTCTGTTGATGCAAGGAGAACTTGGGCCAGAATAACACAGGGGAAAGGAGGGAGGCTGTTTGCATGTTTCATCCACGTCCATGTCTCATTCTGACTCTCCCCCAGACTCTCCTGGGAGCACCTTTCCTCCCTTACATTCTTGGCTCACTCGCAGCTGAAAAGCAGGACTATGAGTCCTGAAAAACACCACCATCAAGCCACACGTGATGAGGAAGAAATGAGTGCCAGCTGCACATCCCACATCTAGGAGCCCACCCAAACTCAGGCAGCAGCAACGAGCTACCAAAATCCCAATGAGCTGGCAGAAAGCCCAAGCCTGGAAGTCCTTCCTGAATGAAGGCAGCCAGGAATAAGACAGTGTCCTGGCCATCTCTAAAGCAGAGACAGCTTGAACAGAAGTTGGGATATTTGCTGGGAGGAAAACAAGTCAGAGAAAGGAGCATCAGATAATAAAAAGACGAAATGCATAGAGAGCACAAAGCAAGGAAAAGCAACGAAGAGAGAGGAAAAAAAAAAAAAAAAAAAAAAAGCAGAGAGGAGGCAAAGTCACCTCTCAAAGTCACCTCCACCACAAATCAGAATGACCTAAGTCTATAGAGCTTTCTAAATGTATTTTATTATTTCACTGTTAAAACAGAGGAGAAATGAAGAGATAGGCCCAGGAGCCATGTTCCAGCTAGATACAGATAACAGGGTAGCCTGAGAACCTGCTGGGTACCTTGTGGGTGACACAGGAAGAGTTTCAGAAGGACACGGGGACTCTTCAGGCTGCCAGCAGCCCATGAGGGCCTCAAACTATCAAGCACCCATTATTCCTTTCCTAATGGAGACACGTGGATTCTCCATCAAAAATGCAGTGTGAGCTGCTCTTAGTGGAGTTATACATGTGTGTGAAACAAAAAACAAGGCATAACAAAAGCTCATGGAAAAAGTGACATTTTTGTTGTTAACGTTTCAGATTTATTTAAGTCTAGAATTAAGCTTTCTATATCTATTTAGCTCTACTTGTGAAGTATTTACCCACTGTCCCCTTCACTGGATACCATCCAGCGCATGTATAGGCCATTGAACTCTACAGGAATCACTTCATAACTGATCATCAGACAGAGACAGTGGGTTAATCCCACAACAGTTGTGCAGTTATTAAATTCCTAAGTGGAAAGAGATGAAGCAGCATGGGACAGTGACACCATCACTGCACAACTCCTCTGCATTGCAGCTGTATGGTTCATAAAATTCAACAAGACACCCCTAAAATGCAATCTTCACTTTTTTTGTTCTTTACCAGACAGCCTCCAATCATGAAAAGTGAAAGTAAGTTTATAACCCATTGAGATTTTACACAGACTGCATGTTAAAGACACCAATGCCTTTCACATGTTCGCCAAAGGCTGAACAAGGATGGGGTTTAAAATTTTAATTTTTTCATAAGAAAAGTTATAGGAAAAGAGCACCAGAGAACTTTGTTTTCCTTATCTACAGCTGAACTTACTGCTTATTTTGTGTACAATTTCTAAGTGCATTTACTCTGTCCAAATCTATTAGGATAGACTTTGCTTGATTTTTTTTTGATCTGTTCACACAAATGTTGCAATTAAATGTCAAGCCAACTCAAAACACTTAAATGGAACTTTTGTTTCATTGCTGGTCACTCTTTGATATAGAAGATGGCGAGACATATGTAACATTGGTTCTGCCCCAGGAACATGACGAGGAGGGCTCAGAGACAAATCTGCAGGCAAGATCAACACTAAAGTCATTTGATCTCAAGTTACACTGGTTTCACATGGCATCAACTACTACTTGCATCTTTCACTGGTGACTACACTTACATTAAAGGGGGGGGATTGAATTTCTGTATGTTCCTTATGCCTCAGTCTTTAACACCTCAGAGGACCTTTATGTAGACAAAAAGTTAAATTTAATCTGGCAAGGGATATTGTATCGTGCTTGGGATTGCCCCAAACTTGATTGATTGAGTGTTTGATTTCAGAGTATGTTCCATATAATCATGAACTTAGAAAACACCTTGTTCTGCATGTAGGTTTTCCAGGAAGTCCCTCCTTTGTAACAATTCCATTTGTACTTCCTTCTCTAGCCGATCCTTGCAAGTCAGAATGATTAAATTCATTCTCAGATTAACACAAAAGTAGATCCCATGATTTCTAGCTCCAAGAGAGTGATGAGGGCATCATAATACAGATCTGCATCTACACTTTAGATGGTGTCCCTCAAAACAGACTACTCACTCTTTACAAGCTCAGATGACTACTGCAGTCACGCCTGTGGGTCATATTCCAAATGAGCCATTTGGGTAGGTGTAATGTTTTGTTTAGCAATGGTTGAAATATTTTGGGATTCTGCCAAAATTTCAAGACAGAGCTCAGCAGAGACGCTGATAAGAATCTTATCTTCCACTCAGACTAAAGAAGCCAAATCCATAAAGCTCCAAGAAACAAAAACCACTGAAATAATTTTATGGTCAGAGGAGAAAATCATTACTATTTTGCATACTTCATTTAATAAAATAAATATTTGATAACTGGAAGCATCAATTATTCATTCTGCAATATGACTAACTTGAAATCAGTCTTCCATTCTTTTCTCTTCTTAAAAGTGTAATTTGTGAGGATGACTAACTAAAATTGAGATATGCAATAGTTGCTGACAGAAAATCTCATTCAAAAATATTTCTCAAGAATTTCTCTTCTGCATCTCCCAGCTTTCTCTAGAAAAATATCCTTAAAAAAAAAAAAAGCCTTCAAGTTGACAATAAACACAACATGCAAGACAGCAAAAAGACATAGACAACCACCATGCATCATGCTTCAATTCTGTAACTGGGAGGCTCCAATAAAGGAGGAGTAACTTCTGAAACACACATAGTTTTTAAATAACAGAATTGGGAAGAATATATAAGAAGCTACATACTGAAACAAGTTCAGCTAAAAATACTAATGGGCTGGTTCTTTACTAATGGAGGCAGTCAGAAGGAAGCTGTGTGTAATTCATTGACAGGTTTGTCCAGCAAACATGGGACAAGTTCCCCTCTTCAGGCATCTTTATTTGTTTGACCTGTAGTATTTAGTTGTTATACATACCGGTCTTCTCTTATACAGTAGATATATAAAATGCAAGAGGTTGACAACCAGAAACACAGAATTCCAGATCATTATGTCCAAGGCACAGCGGTAGAGCGTAGCCCAAATGATGAACAATGCACATCCTGTAGAAATTAACACAGCAAGTTAAATGTCAATAATCAATAAATACTTTTCCACAAAACTATCAGGAATTTATTCATTGTGAAAGGATACAAGTAAACTGAAAAGCAATATATTGCTACAAGTTTTACATACACTTAGATTCTGTATATCAATACCCCTCTGGACTACCCAACAAACAGGCACTGCTGGCCCCCAACCAGCCTGGGCTGTCGCACAGCTTTACAGTGCTGAAGGAACAAGAACTCAGGACTGAGGAAGGCAAAAGGGTACAGACCCCATAATCTTACTAACACAGAGGTGATGTGGGATCAGGGAAGACTCTGTTCAGTACAATAAGAACTAACCAACCCATGAAACTTTATTAGTAGTATTGTATTAATTAGACAAACAAGAGAAATGAACCCTCATCATCTGTGCCAGGAACATTCCTTAGTAAACAATGGTTACAACAAGTCTAAAGTCATGCACAGATATTTTTGAAAACATAAAGGAATCACTGTCACTGCTTTGTGACAAAGGCACAGCTGGAACCAGACTTCACTTGTATGCCATCAAAGAGAAGATTTCAAATGCATTCTCTTCTTTGGTTATTTCACTTCCAGTAATGCCTGTTGCTCTAAAAGCTAAGGCATGCTGTATGATTATGAGTATTTTTAGCATATAAAGACTATATGAACAAACTGACCAAATTCAGGCACATCTGACAAATGGTAGAGGTCACAGACAGATATTCCTGTAAGCTTGATGCAAACAGCAAGCCAGCCACAGAGAAAAGGTATCAAATTACTGTCCTAATTCAAGAGGGGTGATACTGTGGAGCAGCACATGGCTGGGACAACAGCACAAAGGACACATCCATAGGAAACCAAGCTTCATTACTTGTGCTGCTCACAGAATATATTTGCTTCCAGCTGCCACCTCAGTTTGAGAAATTCTGATTCCAAATCTGTTTCTCAGTTCAAAATACAAAAAGCCAAGAGCCCAAAGCAGTTAAGCTCTGCAAGAGCAGAACTCCCACTGTTCTTAAATGGGAACTGCACAGACAAAAGGTCTCACAACACTGAGACCCCTGGTCATTAGCAAAGTCTGTTTTGATGATTTACCCTATCATAACTGTAAATAAAGAAATGACAAAATCATTATCATTGCCAATTCAGCTCCAGAGGTTCTATCAGGCAACTGATGCCCACTTTTGCACTAATTAGTATTCTCAGTTAAAAACCCTTGAGCATCCCCCGGGTTCTGATGCCAGCAGGTATCACCTGGGTCTCTACAGCACGCCCTCCCTATGCTGTAATGACTGTCATGGCTTTTTCTTTTAGTAATTAAGACTTTGCTCCACAAAGGCTTTGAAACAGCTGTGGAACTCCAACAAAGCTACAACTCAAAGCATGCTTGCTTAGTCTCAAATATGGCAAATTTAATATTTTCTCTGAAATCAAATCTTTCTGTGCCATGAAATGCCCACAGTGAAAGAAGAAATTTGACCTACCCCAGGGGAACCCAGACTCACTATACTGAAAACTACAATTGGTAAACTGGAAATGAAAATAACACTGAAGAGCAAATGTCATGACCTCATGTATTCCAGAGGCACTAAGCCAGCATACTAGCCAACACATGGCTCCACTATTCACATGAAACCTAAAACTAACATCTTAATAATCCATACACTTAACCAGGATTCAGAGCCTAATAAACTATAAGCAGCCAGCTGGGCCTGAACCTCTAAGTAAGTCTGAAGTTGTCAATTTTATTTTCACAAAATTTGAAGAGTCAGGATCTCTCTCTCTTTTATATATATATGTATATATATGGTGTGTGTGTGTGTATATATATACACAGAAATATATACATTATATATATAAATATATATATATATATTTATATATAAAACCTTTTCTAGATAAGGTCTTTCAGAGCAGAAAGAGGCTTACATCAAAAATACCTTCAGCAAAGTACAACGATCATGAATATATGCTGGATTTCCACCATAAACCAAGGAGACCAGAACACTCTATAATGTTTACTGCTATTTTTAATGTTTACTGCTATTTATAATGTTTACTGCTATTTATAATGTTTACTGCTATTTATAATGTTTACTGCTATTTCTACTTCATGATGTCCCCAGCAAACTGGCCTACCTATGGTCAGCAGGGCTCGTAGAAAAATCATATGAAGATTCAGAGTTGTCGGAATAACGAGTCCAACTGCAAAGCAAATATTGGCCACATGGAAAACGAGATGATGAATCTCTCTCCAGTTTTCACATGCGGTCTCATTGAAAGGCACAAGGGTGACATTTTTTAAGTCTGGAACAAAACCCAAGGGAGTAACGGTGAGCGGGCTCATTGCTGTGGTATTCATCTTGAAGATTCCTGTAAAACAAGAGAGAAGCAACCGTGCATTAAACATACATTGGAAAAAAATAAATTCCTTGTCTATCTCTCCATTATCATTAATGGAAATTCTACAAATAATTTAAAAATGCAGACCAAATTCATAGCTCAGTAATGTTTTACCATCTCTTTCACCTGAACATAAGTCTTAAAGTGTAAATTTCAAAATTTTCAAAATTTCAAACCCAACACTGGTTGAATAACAGCTGTTACAGCTTCAACTGCTCATAAAGACCTCCTATGTCTTCCTATGTCATCCAGTTCCACAGGAACAGGCATCGCATTTTGAACTACCACTTACTGAATGGATCCATAATCTTAGATAAAGTCTTATGTAGAAGGAAAGAACAAAAAAATCTGACGTTCTTGCAGATCGTTTTGGTATCTCCTAAGAAAAATACGATTTTGGCCTCCCTCATTAAATGGGGGCAGGGGAGGAATTAGAACAGTAAATAAATATGTAAGAACAAGAATATAAGAATAAAAAATTATATGGGATAAGAATATATAAGAATAAGTATATGGAACTCCTGGAGGAAGTGGGGGCAGTTAAGAGAATGATTTCTAATCTAAAAATACATAGGCGTTTTTTCCCCCAGTAATAATAAATACAGATTTTCTTTAAAATGTAAAGGAAAAAAAACTCTTCTCCTCTAAACAAAGAAGAAAAGAAAGTTCTCTTAAAGTTCTCTTACAGAAGAAAAGTTCTCTTACGGAAAACTAGCTAGTAAGATAAACCAGAAGATTTCAAGATATCACCTTTAAAATCCTGAAAGCCTCTGTAAGGAACAGACTAGGGTCAGTATTAGAAACAGTCCAGAATGTGCTTTGAACAGCTAAAGACCAATTTCTAGCTGGAGGACCAGCACTATTCCTAAAGAGACTCCTGTTTCCAGCAAAGTACGCACGGCCCCTACTGCTGCAGCAACTGGGATTATATTGAGTTCTGCTTGACTTTCATTAACAAAACACATGCAGCTGTGAGCAAACACACTCCATAAGAGGGATTTGCATTCATGTAAGTTCTGTAGAGACTGTGCATGCCCCTGCTCTATGTGCTTAAGGTCTGCTGAATAGATTAATTGCTTGACAGCAAAGTCATGGCCAATCCACTCAACATCTCCTGCGGTCTAGGATGCGCTTGGCGTCTCTGTCATTTACAAGTGTTCAGTGGGCTGTGAAGGAGTTTGGAGCTGTTTTAGTTTCATCGATGCTTTTTCTTACTTCTCATCAACTTGTGTGGAAGTTTTAAGCAATTCGGACAACTCCAGCAATAGTGAGAAGACATCGTGAATAACAACCCAGCCCTCTTACAGTTGCCCTCAGATGGCCAGACCCTGTCACACACAAGTCATACTGTAAAATGACTCAGACACCCTGCGAGATCAAACACTGTTATGGACATAAGGTATGGCCTCTGGCTGGAAACAACATTCTTCAAATGGAAGAAAAACAAAAAAATAAACAACAAAAAAAAAAAAAAACCAGACAATAATGTTTTTTTTTTCTTCTCAATAAGCTCGTATCTCTCCATTCCTATATCAGTTTTTCTACAAGGGTTAACTAAAGTGTGTTTTTTGGCATAATGTTATTCTAAATTATAGTACCAATAACTATGGTGGCTCAATAAATGCATGGTCCAGTTACCATCCACGCATTATCCATTTACATCCCTGTTTTTCTATAGTTCCTATGCAAGAGTATAGTTGTTAGAGTGACAAGAACAGTCCCCCTGACCTAACAAAGTCATTCACACAGAGTAAAAGCGTGAGAGTTGGTAAGAATTTGCAGGACTGGAATTTTAATGTACTCATAAATTTAAAAAAAAAAGTTATTGCTAACTCTAGACAACTGCATTCATGCTCATCTTGTGACATCCTGTTGATCCCATTTTTGAACAATATAAATTCCTTACAGAGAAATAGCAGGATCCCCAAGTCTTGTAAGAAACTATATCAACTGTGTTTCTTTGGATATTCAACCCTTCACCTGCCTAATAATCTGCCATAAAGTACACTAAAAATGGCATCATTTGGCAAAGAAACAAACACAAGCAAATTTGCATGCAGAACTAGCCGTAAAGCTATCAGTTCTACTCATGATCAAAACAGACCAGCAAAAGTAATTGCAGATGCATCTGGTTACAGAACCAGGAAGCTTTCCAAAAATTTTTTTTTTTAATATGAAGTTTTGTATGTCATTGTTGGGAAAAATAAAGGCTACCTTATTCTTTTTAAACTTGTCTGTAAAGAATCACATATTTGAAGCCTAGCCATCCAACCAAGCCAGTCATCTACACAGCCCACAATAGCCTCAGTCGCCTCACAACCCAACCAAAACACAAATTCACAGAATACACAGAATATTTAAGGTTGGAAGGGACCTCTACAGATCATCTAGTCCAACCTTCCTGCTCAAGCAGGCACACCTAGAACATGTGGCACAGGGTGGCATCCAGGCGGGTTTTGAAGACCTCCAGAGTAGGAGACTCCACAACCTTCCTGGGCAGCCTGTTCCACTGCTCTGTCACCCTAACAGTAAAGAAGTTGCTCCTCACCTGGAGAAGTTGCTCCTCACCTCATCTTCCCTGTTAGCCACTGATACTAAGGCCACAATCAACCATCAAAATTGTCACCAAGGAAAGATGTTTCTCTAAGTGACTTGATCAAAAGTCTTTTATAGTAAAAGGTCCTCATAGGGCTGAGAACAAACAAAACAAAACACTCAAGTGACCGTCCATTTTCTCGAGAACCCTTGTATCCCATAGCCACACCATTCAGCACTGACTACATGAGAATTTTTAAGCCTTGCTTGAGTACATTCGCATAACTTTAAAGTCATTCCTAGCTCACTTATGTGGAGATGGATTGCGTGAGTCTAAAGATAGACCATGCTCAGGAATTTATCTCCTACCTCCAGAACTTTAATTACTTTTCCATGGTCTTGCAGAGCAAAAGCTGCACAGAAAATCCAGGCAATCAATAACTTCTTTGTTTTAATGAGCTGAAGACAAATCATTAGTGACAGCATGATTAAGCTAATTACAGCTTAAGTTACACATTTCCTTTTCATAATGAAGTTGGAGTGAGTGGGGAAAGTGATACAAGAAAAGATGTATTTCAGCACACTTTTCGGGGCAAGTTCATATCCATTAAACATGTCATTAAAAACAAATTTTCTAGTTAGTCTATGCATTATTCTAGATAAAAATTAACTATGTAGAAGGAAAATATTGCTAACAAAACATCCTTACTCGCACAACTATTCCTACTATACACTCAAGATAACAAACCTTACTACACAGCAGCTGTACGACAGACCCTGGAAGTTCAGCTGTAGCTGCACGCATTTCGTGTGTGTTACATTACACAGATGCACCGAAAAATCCTGCCAACTGTCACTCCGTAACCCTTGTTTGTCCTTCCAATGAAAGGAGAGCTCGATTTTAAACCACAGCACGCAAACGCGGAGCACCACGTGTTTAAAAATACACATATGAAATTTTTAAAAAGCCAAATGTGGTTGAAGAGAGACATTGCTCAGAGGATGACTGCTCTGCACACGAGTGGCAACAACACGAGCAAAGCTCTGTTTGGAAAGCCCTCGGCAGCTCTGCTCTTGCGGTGCACGGAGCGGCGCTTCACAACCACGCCTGCATGGGCGCAACAAAACCTGGGAAGCCCCAGCGCACCCAAAAAGGGAATGCTCAGAGTGACGGGATCAGGCTGGAAAAACAGAGTTGCCCCCAGTTATAAACAATACGGAGTTTGAGGAAGGGGGAAAGTGGAGGAAATCAAGGGGAAAAAAATAATGACAAAAAAAGAAAACTTAAAGATCCTAAGCAGAAAATACAATCCCACCCGTCCTCTCCTGTTAAACACTTCTACTCAGACACGAATATTTGCCCATTTAAGAGTTTGAGATCCTCAAACCGTGGTCCGCCAGGAGCAGCACTGAACGCTTCTGCTCAGATGCCGCCTACTGCCAAAGCTTTAACACAAAATATTAAATACATATATAATATATAATTAAAATGAACGCCACGCGGGAAACGCCGCCAGCGCCGCAACACGGCGCGTTTTCCACCCTCCTCCCGACCTCAGGATCGCGGCGCGGCGGCAGCGGCTCGTCCCGCCGCGCGCCTGCAGCCCGGGGAGCCTCGCGGCTCCGAGGCACCCCGTTCCCGCCGAAACGGAGGGAGGGCTGTGGAAGCTCTCCGGGGAAGCCGAGCCGCGGCTGGCGCCTGCTGCCCGCGGCCCCGCGCTGCTGCCCCGCGGCGCGGTGCCCGCTCGCAGGTGCGTCCCGCCCGGGCGGCTTCCACCGCGCGGTGCCCTCTACCTGTGGCCGGCCCCCCGCGCGAAAGTTTCGGGAAGGGCACCGGGAGCGGGACGCGCCGCCGCTGCCGCCGCTCCGCGCCGCGGCCGCCGCCGTGACTAAAATAGGCAGGAGCGGCCGCGGGGCTGCGGGCGGCGCCAGCGGCCGGGCCGGCGCCGCCGCCGAGGGGCGCCGAGGGGCGCTAGGGGGCGCAGCGGCGGCGCAGCGGGGGTCGGGGCGGCGTGTGGGGTGGCTGGGGGTGCGCGGTGCGGGGTGAGGAGCGCGGTGTGGGGAGAGGAGCGCGGTGTGGGGAGAGGAGCGCGGTGTGGGGAGAGAATGAGGTTGCTGCTCCGCGCTGCAGAGGCTCCCGGGCTTCTTCAAGGAGCCGCGCTTCCCTCAGGCACCTCCCGAGGGGGCTGCCCAGGGGAGGCTGCCGGGCATGGGCACTGGTTCTCTGTGCCCCTGTTTGCCCGCGAGCCTCATCGCAGTTGTCTCCGAGTTTGAACCCCAGCATACAGTGGAGTGCCTGGTTTAGGCGTCTGAAATACATGGCATGAATCGCCTTGTAGAGATGCTGCTGTTCACTGTGGAAGGAGCGTAGATCCTGGGCAAAGTGCCTGGCTTTGGGATGGTTAAAATTAGGAGAGCTGAATTCTGCCCTAAACAAGTGGCAAGCGATGTTTGCCCTATATGGCGAGTCAAGGAGCACAATAGCAGTTATAAAACCATTCCTCTCGACTTGGCCCCTGCTGTGGCTGCTTTGTCATGAGCACAGTGTTTAAGAAAAGGCACAGAGCTTGCTCGTGTGGCAGTTTTACAGCTCCCAGAAATGACATGTCTCTGAAGGAGGCCTCTTATGCCCCTGTTGCACTGCTGATGTATAGTCTATAATGCTCTTGCACCACCTCTTTCACAGGACTGACTGAACAGCTGCCTACTGTGCCTTCATTTCCAGACTGGTGTGTGTCATCTAGAAAGGTATTGCACAGAGAGTGTATAGGCACCCATCCCTAGGCCAGACTGGCAATGATAAATGAGGGCTGCAAAGGCAGAAAATCCCAATACATTGTGATGAGCAAGCTACAAAGTGTGTTTTTTATAGCAGACGAGAGTGTATAATCAGCATTATATTTCTGGAAAGAATAATACAGGATGCTGAACTATTTTTGAAGTAGGTGTCTATACACGTACACATCAACATGTGTCCCAGGAGATTGTGGCTTTGTTATGGTTATTCTCGGCTTTACGTCTTGGATAAGGAACCTGGATATGTCTGCTAATAAGTGACCTGTAAATAGGACTTTTATGAATTCCGCTGTCTGGTATCAAACACAGTTTTCCAAAATTTATTATGAATCATTTATTATGAAAAACTTGGTTTGAGTTCTGTTTCTGCTGACTGGCCAGTGAGCCTTGTGGCTGTGTTTTTTTTTTCTGAGACATGCAGGGTAAAGTGAGCTGGAAGAAGGCTAGGAAGAGCAGCTCTGGTCCTATGGCCACAGGAATGGTTACAGGAGATAGCATCTAGCATATGCTGGGACTGATTATATTCAGTT